GGCGACGGCTCCGGTCGTGGAGGCGGGCGAGCGCGCCCCACAGCCGCCCGCCGTCGCCTCCCCCGCTGTGACGCCGGAGCGACGGTCAAGCGCCGCCGCCGCCGCCGCCGCTGCGAGTCCATCGAGGCGGCACGTGACCTTCACGGATCCGGCAGAGCCATCGCCGAGGAAGCGGCCGGCGGAGGCCACGCCGTCCACCACGCCGTCCAAGAGCGGCCTGGACGGGAGAGGCAGTGGCAGCCCGCAGCAGCAGCAGCGGGTCCCAGTGACAACCCCGCCGTCCCGCGCGAAGCCGCAGAACCCCTTTGGCAAACCCGCCAGGACGACGATGATGTCGCTGGCGAGTGCGTCTTCGGCGCCGCCACCGCCGCCGCCGCCGCCCATCAGTCGCCCTGTCTCGTGTCTGGTGCTTGGCGACTCACAGTCGTCGGTGGGTCTCGAGTCGGCGGAGGGGGTGGAGCAGCAGCAGCAGCAGAAGCCGCGCTCGCTGTTTCCGGCGGCGGCGGCCCCGCCAAGGCAGCGCCCCGACGCAAAGGCAACCTACCCCGAGCCGCCGGCTGTGGGGGCGGACGGCGGCGGCAGGGGAAGCGGCCCGGTGAACGGCGGCCAGCGGGTCTCGCCCCCCGCGGTGGGGGACGCCGCCAACGAGCCGCGGCGCACAGCCGTTGGCCGCTTCTGCCCGAAGACACTGCCTCTGGGCCGCCCGGCCGCGCTGGTGGCGGCCGCCGAGGCGGCGGCGGAGGCGGCGGTGGACCCGTTCCTTGACCGGTCCGAGAGCGGCGCCCCCGTCACCCTCGAGGCGCTGCTGGTGGACTTGGGCCACGAGGCCTCGCAGACCGGCGTCCCCCGCAGCGCCTCCTTCGGGGAAGCGCTGCGGAAGCGATACCGCGAGGAGGAGGAGGACAACGTCGTGGACGGCGGCGGCGGCGTGACGGATGTGGCGCTGCCGCGCATGGCGTTTTAATCCCTCGCCCGCCGAAAACGGAGGAGGGCAAATAAAAGTGACACACACACACACACACACGTAACGGACAATGAAGGAAGGAAGGAAGGAGAGGAGGAATGCGAGAGAAGCGAGGCAAAGCAATGCCGTCGTCACCGGCGGCGGCGGCGAGGAAGTAACTGTTAACAGAGTTCCCATAGAGAGTGCCATGCGTCATAGATGAGGGAGACGGCGGTGCGGCGAGGAAGAAGGGAGGAAAAGGCGTACACGTGGTGAGTGGTGGGGCGAGGGAGGAAATGCACGAGTGCGTGAAACGGGAGCCGCTGCCAAAAGAAGAAGAAGACAAAGACACGAGGGGAAAAAAGAAAAGAAAAAGAAAAAAAAACAACAACAAAAGAATAGAAAAAAAGGGAGGGAAAAAAGTGAAATGGCGTTCCAATTTTCCAACTACCTTCTGCTTCAGTGCAACGGGGCATGAAGCGAGTGCGTGACATGATTTGCTGTTGACTTTATATATATCTATGTGTGTGTGTCTCGTCTGTAGCTTCTGGCATGGCGCGGCTGTATGGGCTGCTTCTTTGCGACTTGCGTCATCACACCCTTCACGCTTTTCCTTTTTTTTTTGTTGATGCGTATGCGTGTGTGTGTGTGTGTTTTGCTGCCTGCCTGCCTGGGCGCACGCACGCAAAGGTTGGTCCAAGTGCCGCGCGGGGTTGGCACACGGCGCTCGAGTTGCCATGCTGCTCAAGTTGGTCTGCGATGACGGCTGCGGCTTCGTGCGGCGTCTGGGGGCGACGGAGATGTGCGTCGGGTGGGTCGTTGCGGAGGACGTTCCCCTCTGCGACGCCGCGCAGGTTGTGGCGCTTAACGCAGCCATCGACGAGGGGCGCCGTGAGACGGGCGACTCCACCGCAGCCGCGGCAGCCACGAAAACAATGGAGCTCCCGAGCCTAAGCGAGTACGCCCTTTTGTCGCCCGCGTCCGGGCAGCCGCTCGACGTGCGCTGCACCCCGAACGAGCTTGGCCTGAAGAGTGGCGCCACCCTGCAGCTCGTGTGCACGGCAGGGCAGCCGCGCAGACGGCGAGGTCTCTCTCCCGGGACGAGTCCCTCGCGGCGGCGGCAGCAGCAGCGCGAGCCGCCGGCCGCCAACACGGAGGATGACACGGAGGAGGAGAACGATGAGGTTTACGCCTCGCGCGGGTTTGGGTGGTTTCCGTTTCTGCTGCGTCCACGCGAGGGGGAGCCGCTGGTGCTGATGAGCGATCCGCGCACGCCTGTGCAAGAGACCGACGCGCAGCCCAATGCGCGGCCGCTGTGCGAGACCTGCGCCGCCCTCGTCTCCCACGGTGAGGCCCTCCGCGTCGCCGTCGACCCCCACTACAAGCCGATGCTGATGCGTCAGGACTACCTTGAGATGGCCATGGAGAAACTTGGCGGCGGTCAGCTGCATCGCTGGCAGTCTCGCTTTATACAAATGTCGGAGAAGTCGATTGACTGGTTTCTGGAGAAGCCCAAGCCGGGGGTCAAGAGCCGCATTCACGGCCACCGCTACATCGTACGCGACGGGGAGTGCCAGGTGGAGACGCTGATCCGCCACCCCGACCCGGAGAAGTACCCACACTGCAGGGACAAGCACTTCAGCTGCTTCGCGGTGGCCTTCCGCAACCCCGGCAAGACGTACTTTTTTCGCGTCAAGACGGAGCAGCAGCACGAGCTGGCGGTCGGCTTCCTCGAAAAGTGCATTAGGCGCGTGACGGATCGCGCCCCCGCGCGTAACCCTGTCACGTGGAAGCAGCGGGTCGACCAGTTCCTCGTCAACGCGGCGCAGCTGGGCGAGGTCTACTCCACCAGCCGCATGTCTATTGAGGCGCTACAGTCGCGGATGCACTCCCTCGAGCAGGAGCTCGCCGAGGCGCTAGAGCTAAAGCCGAGGCTGCTGGCCGCGGTCGACACGCAGACGAGTTACGTGCAGGCGCTTTGTGGGGAGTTGGCCGGCTACGAGGCGGACCTGAAGCGGGCAAAGCAGCGGGTGCGGGCGGCAGAGGCCCGCGTCGCCGAGGAGGAGCGGCTGCTGCAGGAGCAGCAGACCGAAATGGGCGACGAGGTCCACAAGGTGGCGCTTCTAACACAGTACGCCCTGCGGCAGCGCGAGGGGGCCGAAAAACGCATGGCGGAACTCCGTGAGCGGGCCGCGGCGCTGCAGGAGGAAGAAACCGCCGTGTTCCGCAGGTGGTGTCGTCTGGAGGAGCGACACCGCGTACGGCGGGAGGCGTTGCCGCGCAGCGGGCTGTACTCCTTCTCTGAAGACGGCGTCGGCGTTCCCTCCGGCACCCCGCGTCTCTCGATGGAGCTTGCGGCGTCGGCGGCGCGACTCACGCTGAACTCGGACTCGCCCTGCAGCCTCGCCACCGCGTTACCGTCGCCGCAGCGCCAACTGGTGTACTCCACAAGCCGTGAACGGGAGCCCTGAAACGCGCCCTTGAGAGACCGCAGAGTGAGAGAGAGAGAGGAGGGGGGAAAGGAGGGGATACATGAACGAGCTTGCAGCTCCCCTACGCGTTGAGTGCCCTCTCTACGTTTACCCTGCACGTTTGCTCTTGCCGGCTCGCGTTGCTATCGTATATTTATTTATTTTGCTTGCTTTTCTTTCTTTTCCCCTCGACGCACGCGGGGAATGCGTTGCACCTCCCTGCCTACTATTTAACGTGGCCACTCACTCACCCGTACATTCATAGTTTGCGTGGCAAAGCGTATCTGTCTTTCGTGTTACCGCCCTTATCGTGCTTGTCGTCCCTGTCTCTTCCCCACCGCCGCCCCACGTTCTTCCCGCCTCCCGCCGTGCCTTGATGAACACCGCCGGGCACTCATCTCGTGGCTGCCGCACGGAAACTTTGCCTTTTTTTTTTGTTCCCCCCGCCCCTCCCTCCCTCCCTCCTTCCCCCCTTCGCCGCCTTTTTCCCTTCTGACTGCGCCTGCCCTTTCTCCTCCGGCTTCTCCGCTCTTCGTTTTAGTTTGAAGCGGCGTAAAAGGCGTCTTTTATATTCCGTTTAACGTTGCTCGGCTTGTCCGCAGAGAGAGGTATATATATGTATGTCTCTCTTCCCACACGTCAAGTGTTATAATGACGCCGGCGTAGTCGTGTCGGGCGTCTGCGGCGGTGCGGCAGGCCACGACACCAGAGGCGCGAGAGGACGCACCGTGGGCCACGCCCCTGTGGCGGCGGGTGGCTGCTCGCTACGCGGAGTTGCGCCGGCGCCTGGGCGGCGCTTCCTGGCGGGAAGCAGGACGAGGCAGTGAGGATGCATGCCGGCAGCACGCGAGGTAAACAGCTCTCGACACGTGTGTGTGTTTGTGTGTTTGTGTGTTTGTGCACGTCTTACAGCAACGGCGGCGCCATTTTTGTTTGTTTGTTTTTATTTTTATTTTTATTTTTTTCTGTTTGCCCACACGTCTTTGTGGCGGGTTGGTGCCTGGCATCTCTGCAGCCTCGCGCTGCCCCTTCCCTCCTGCCGGCGCACAGGCTGCGCTTCCGTTGAGAGTTGCCGACGAAGCGGCACCACACACACACACACACACACCGCCTTATCGGGTTGTATGCATCTGCCTCTCTGTTTGGGGGGAGGGTGAGGGCGAAAAGCGTTTCTTCGTTTTGGCCACGTCTCCGTCCGCAACAAGTGTAGCAAGAGCCGCAAGGTGGGGTGGGAGGGTCCGAGTGGCAGCAAAAAGGTGGAGGGGGTAGAAACCAAAGAAAAAAAAGGGAACTGGACCACTAGGCCCTAGTACAGCTAAAAAAAAAACATATTATTACAGGGAGGGGGAGGGGCGAAGGAGGCAGAGGAAGTGTCTATCTTTATCCGTATTTGCATCTCTGTGTGCCTGTGTGGGGGGTCGGCCGTACGGCACGGTGTGAGACGCCTGCTTTGATGGCGGTGGATGCGGAGGGGAACTCAGCCTCTTTTTTCCTAGCCTGCCTACTCGTCAGCATGGTTGTCACGGCCCACGTTTCGGACCGCGGCGGGGTGCCCGCCCACCTGATCAAGTTCCTTCTCCTCATCGGGGTGGTGGCGGCGTCGCTGATGTACTTCACCGGCACCTTTGCACTCATGCAGGACATGGGGAAAATCGTGCAAAATGGCACAACGTCCCTCCGCTCAGCCGCCGGCGTTGCGAAGTTTTGTAATGACATACAAACCCTGGCGGTGAACCGGATACTGCAGATGGTGGTTCTCATCACGGTGGTGTACCTCTTCCTGCAGGCACTCTGCGTGCCCGGCACAGTCGCGCTGAACGCCGTCACAGGGGCGGTGCTTGGAACCGCCTTGGGCGTGCCGTACTGCACGCTACTGGGGACTGCTGGTGCCACGTGCTGCTACCTTCTCTCGTCACTGGTCGGGGTGCGTCTCGTGGAGCGGGTGGATGGGCGCCTCATGAAGGGCAAAGGACTGGCGAAGATACGTCTGCAGGTAAACCGGTACCGCGGGGACCTGTTCGTGTACCTCCTCTTCCTCCGCCTCACCCCGATCCTGCCTAATTGGCTGGTGAATTTAGCCTCCCCCGTCGTGGGTGTCCCGCTGCGGGTGTTTGCGCTGGCCACCTGTTTAGGCATCCTGCCGCAGACGTACCTGACGGTGCGCTTTGGCGCCTTTGCACGCACGACGATGGGCAAAAGTGGCCCGATTGTCTCCCTGTGGGATACGCTGCTGCTGGTCGTTCTCGGCTTGGCCGTCCTCGCCGCATTTTGGCTCAAGAAACGACTTTCCGCCACGACTGGGTTCGGCCCCGGGGTTCGGTCGGCGACCGCCGTGGTGGTCTGAAACCGCTGCCGCCCTCGCACACCTTCGGCTTGTGGCGCCCTTCCCTCGCTGCAGCGGCCGTAGTTGTGTGTGCGTGCCTCCTGCCGCCGTAGGCGTTCACGCACACGTTTACCGGGGCATTTGTTGCGTTCTCCGTGCAATGCGTGTCTACGTCTCTGTCCCGCGCCGCTTGAGAGCTGGAGAGGCCGTGCCTGCGCCTGTGCCTGTGTGTATGTGTGTGCATGGCGGCAGGAGGGAGGGAGGGGCTTGCGTAACGCTGTGGCCTAAGAAGGCAGCGGCGCCAACAAACGTGCTGACATGACGAAGAAGCCGGAGAAAAAGGTCTGTTTCTCCGTCGTTCGCTTTCTTTCTTTCTTTGTGCGTGTGGGGCGAACTCGCTTTTTTGTTTTCCTTCTTTTTGAGGCCTTGCCATCCTCACAAGGAAGAGGCAGCAGGCCACACACGTGTGCCAGACGTACGCCCCTCTTTTCTCCTCCACACGCTCGCTGTTTGTGGGCGGAGTTCCGGTCTGCCGCTGGCTTTGTACGCTCCTCACCGCCTCCTTCCGGGCGTCACATGGGCGGCGCTCCCCTCCTCTATTTTTCTCTCTTTGCCCCCTGCGGCGCCGGTTGCGCCCACGCGCCAAGTAGCGTCGGGGCCTGGGGACCGTCTCGGCGTGTGCGTGCGTGCGCCTTTGTGTGTGTGTGTGCGTGTGTGTGTGGGGACGGGCTGTCCGCGGCGCGAGCAGGGCGCGTGCACACACGCAGCCACACGCACACACACAACGCCTCGACAGGGAGAAAAGTGAGTGACGCGTCTTGCCGAAGTCAAGCAGTGGCAAAACGGGAAACCGAAAAAAAAACACCTCACACACACACAAGAAAAAAGAAAAAATATATATATATTTATACAACAAAAACAGCAACAAAAAAGGCCAAGAGAGTTTGGCTAGCGACAAGGTTTAGTTTGCCCACATGCCCACCCCCGGCGGTGTGCCAGACATGACGCGTATGTCGTTGCGCGGCTCTTTGCGGGGCGGCCACGGCTACGCCCCCTCCACCGGCGGCGGCGGCGGTCACAGCAGGCGTGAGAGCGCCACCCTGCCGTTTATTGCCCCCACCTCCAATTATGCCCGCGAGATGGCCAACGTGGCGAATCCCGTGAACGCCCGCGTGTCGGAGGGGAACACAAAGGCGGAGTTGCTGCAGGTGATTGAGCAGCAGCGGCGGGAGATGCAGGTGCGGACCGATGGTGTGAACGCCATTCAGCGCAATTTTGAGCGTCTGAGTGAAATGTACCGCAACGACCGTGCCGAATTGGAGCAGTTGCGGGAGGAGGTGAAGCGCCTTCGTGGGCGGGAGGGGGCGGATGAGAGTGAGCTGAAGGTGTACGCCGCAGTGCGGGCCGAACTGGAGTCGCTCCTGCAGTCCCACAAGGAGCTGCAGGAGACGCGGCGGCAGGAGCAGCAGAAGTGCAGGAGCGACGCCGAGGAGGCGCAGCGGCGGCTGGAGGCGCAGCAACGACGCTTCACGGAGCTGCAGGGCGAGTGTGACCAGCTGTCCCGCACCGCGAAGGAAGGGGAGGAAAAGATGGGGCACGTCACCGCGGAGCTGGCCTACCTCACCCGACAGGTGCAGCAGTTTGTGGAGGAGGTGCGGCGCCGGGTGAGCTCGTTGCCCGTGGAGGGCCTCACCCGCGGCGGCAGCGGCCCCGCGCCGGGGGACGGCGACGCCAGGCAAACCGTCAAGGCCGCTTTGGCCGACGCCTGGGACTCGGTCGACGCGGTGTGCGTCTGTCTGCGCACGGCGCATGCCTCGATGAACCACATGGCGCGGGAGCAGCTATGGCAGCGCAACGCGTTGGTGTCGAAGGTCATGCAGGAGCTCGAGGCGGCGGCGCGAGGGGCCGTGTCGGAGGAGGAGGCGGCCGCGCGTGAGGCGATATACACCCGGCGGCAGGACAAGTTGCACGGGCTCAGCAAACAGGCGGAGTGTGCGCTGCGGCAGGAGGCGCAGGCGGAGCTCGCAGGGGCGCGGCGTAGGCTGCTGCTGCAGGAGCTGTCGCACGACGCCGTCGCCGCGGAACTGCGGCGCCACGTGGCGGAGCTCAAAGAGCGCCTGCAGGCCGCACTGGAGGGCTACGACGTGCTGCAGCAGCAACACCAGGCCGGCATGGCGATGCTGAGAGAGACGCTTCTGCAGGAGATATGGCAGTTGCGGGAGGGGATGTCGCAGTTGCATGGACAACACGCGGCGGCGGCGGCGGCGGCGCAGCAACGCCTACGGGAGTCCGAGCTGCAGCGGTTGCAGGAGCAGCACACGTTGACGTTGCGGGAGGTGGTGGAGAAGTCTGCGGCAGAGTACAACGCGCGGCAGTTGATCTGGCAGGAGCGTATAGCGAAACTCGACGATAGACTCCGTGGACTCACGGCGCTGACGCATGCCGCACGCACAGAAATGAACGAACTGCGCGCCAAAAATGCGGCGGTGTGTAGTGATCTGCGCACCTCGCGCACGCTGGCCAAAGAGGCCCAGTGCGAGGTGCTCCTGCGGTACGAGACCCAGCTGCGTGAAAACTTGATAGAGTCAGAGAATGGGCAACGTGAGAGCCTTCTGGCGAGGGCAGCGGACCACCGTGGGGCATTTTCCACAGTCGCAGAAGTAACGGCTAAACTGCGCCTCGTCGTCTCACTCTACGCGGCAGCCGCGGAGGAGACGGCGCAGCGCTTCGTGATCGTGTCGGATGCCTGGGCCACATCTCCCGTTATGGCGTGCGAGCAGGCTCTGCATGAGCTGCGGCTGCAGGAAATGGGGCGGCAGGTCCCGAAGGCGCCTTGCTCTTCCCTCCCCGCATCACTGGCGGAGATGCGGACGCGGCTGCGGGAACTGCGGCAAGAGGCCTCGGGCGTGCCGCGGTGTCTGCATGACATGCAGCAGGAGCAGGCGCGGCTCTTCGCCTCCGCGCTGGAGGACGCCCAGCAGCTGGAGTTGTCGTGGGCGAAGTCCACGGCGCCGCGCCGTGAGGAGGGGCAGCAGCAGCAGGAGGAGGAGGAGGAGGGGCGGGCAAAGGCGACCATACGGACGGTGATGGAGATGCTCATAGCGGCGGAGCAGGCAACGGAGAGCCTCTACTCATGCGGCTTATGCATGCAGTTGTACCGCAGTCCTGTGACGTGTGTGCCGTGCGGCCACACGTTTTGTGAGTCCTGCCTCCTGCTGCAGCCGGAGAACAAACTGCGCACGAAGAATAGCGCGTGGTACTGCCCGGAGTGTGCGCTGCGGCCCTGCAACCTGCTGGTGCGTGTACGCGCCCTCGAGACGCTCTCTGGCAACTTTCTCTTCCGAAAGAAGGGGATGGAGGAGCTGCAGCGCGCTTTCGATTCCCTGAGGGCGTGCTGATGCCCCGAAGAATGTGCAACTGCGCGCGCGCACACACGCACACAAACCACCGCCGCCCAAGTAGGGCGCCCTGCCCACCGCCACACATGCGGGCAATGCGCATCCCGTTATGGTTACCACTTTTGGTCTCCTTGACCGTAGATTGTGTGCGCGTGCATGCGTGCGTGTGCGTGTTGTTTGTTTTTGTTTTCTTGTTTTTTTTTCTTCTACACGTCAAGTACCTCCCGCTTTTTTGTTTATTTACATTTTTACTGCCCGCTTGCCTTCGCAAAAGAAGTTGCGGGCCCCCGCCGCCCCCCCGTGCGCGCGCGCAGTCGCCCTTCGCTTCGCTCCATCCTCCGCTGCCACGCGGGGGGTGCGGGGGACACGGGGGAACTGCGTGCGGGGGGCGGAAGAAGACGTACTTGCCTCCCACATCGCCACGCCCTGCCGAGNGAAAAAAGGCCCGCGTCGCTCTGCACGGTGACTTTTGCCTCCCTCCGCTGCGCATGCCGCTTTTCTCCTCCTCCGCTCTGCACCAGCCAGGCATCTGTGGTTGCGCCAATTATTACTGCGGTTCTACCGCCTCCCGCGCCGTTGAGGGAAAAGTAAGCGGCATC